TAGCTTTTAAATCCCTCCATGGTTACCCTGCGTGGAGGGCGCTAAATAAATGCAAGTTGTTGTCGCCCCATCCAGCTCTGTGACCTTAAACCCTACCAACCCAACGGCTCCTTCCGCTCGGCAAGCACTGGCCTGTTTCACGTCAAGGGCCCTTCCAACACCACCATTGGTAGTCAGGTCTTCAACCTTTCAACATCCAATTTCTTGAATAAGGTATGTGTCTGCATACATTTCTGCTTAGTTATGCCAGTGGTTGATAAATCATTAATCTGTTAATTCTGCAAATAGTATGAACAATTTATCCCTAATGGTACATAATGTGATTGTGCTCAATATTCTGCAAGGAGTTAGAAATTAATAAATATGATACTTTAATCTTTGTAATTGTATAGACAAGACGAATGAAGACAAACATGTCTTATTGGCTGTAGCGTTTTACTGGCTAGATTTTAATCCCAGGGGAAAATAACATTATTCAGGCAACTAAGTGAAATGTGAATTTAGGCAATTATACTCCCAACTATATGTGAGTCACAACATAAACTGTCCAAATTTTAGCAAAAGCTTTTTGGTTAGTGAAGCATTAATAACACTATGCTAGCCTGGCTCAGTGATAGCACTCTTGCCACTTAGTCGGAAGATTGTAGGTTCAAGCTCCAAGTCGGAACTTGAACTCATGTAGTCTAAGATTACATTGTAGTGCTCCTGCATTGCGGAGGTGCTGTCCTTTGGACAAAATATTAAACGGTCTGCCTGCTCAGGTGAACATTAAAGATCCCATGGCACAACACAAAAAGAGAATGAAGTTTCTCCTGGTGTTCTGGCCAACAATTTCCCAAATAAACCTGGTCATTGTTTCATGGCTGTTTGTGGGACATTGCGGTGCTCAAATTGGCCTGCACCTTCACCTACAAATAGACAGTGACTCCGCAATAAATCCTGTGAAGTGCTTTGAGACATTCTAACCATGTTAAAGGCGCTATAGGAAATGCAATAATAATAATAATAATAATAATAATCCTTGCATTTGATATAGCGCTTTTCATGTCAGGAGGACATCCCAAAGCGCTTCACAGAACACACTGTAAAGTGAATTGACTGTATATTTGTGGGCGAACGCGGCAGCCAATTGCGCACAGCAATGTCCCAGAAACAGTCGTAGATTGAAAATGACCAATTTATTATTGTTTTTGGTTTTGGAGGGATTATCATTAGGCGTGTGGAGTAAGGAAACTTGCCCAAGGTTTCGCCCTGCCTGGAATTGAACTCAGGTCTCTCACTTGCAAAGCGAGTGCTCTAACCACTGAGCTACAGGACTCCACAATACTCAATAATGATTATTATTATTACATTTTGGATGCTCTTCTGAATAGCATTACAATTACATTGTTTCAGCAACATAGAAGTATCTTTACTGTCCATCTAGTTTGTGCTGTAACTGACTGCCTGATGCTGATAAATGGGTGTCATACATGGATTGGAAAAGTGCTTTGTTTTGAAAGAAATAACTTCCTACAGCAAATACAGATTTCCACTTAATCTGCTGAAGTATACACAAAAATCCTGCAAATATGGCCACCATAAAAATATATGGCAATTGCTGCTGATTATTGATTAGGGTGTCAGGATTATTGCTCAAACTCTGCTCAATGACTTGGGATAGCAATCCCTAATGACTTACCAAAATGCTGGGATATGATCTGGATGAAGCATCAGTCATCAATTTAAGTGAACCACTGGCCCACCTGTAACCCATAAAATGATTTTTCTCTAATAACATGAAAGCCATAGTTTCAATTTAAGATATTCTTTTGCATAGCTGGAATTTTTAAAATTTCAAATCAAATTCAAGCTATTTTAATTGCAGAGCTATGTCTCCACAATACTATTGAGGTATAACAATAATGCTTACAGTTGATATAGCACCTTATCACATTGTTTTTCAAAGAGTTTCAAAGGATTTATTGTAAATTATAGTGAATATTGTTCGTCCAATTCAAATCACTCCAGATTCAAATGATGGCTGCTATTTAAGTCCCAGAACAAAGTATACCATTCGTGATGGAAATTTTAAAATTGTGGTGTAAGTATGCATTTGTTCACAAGAAAATATATTCGCTTGAATGAAGAAACTGCTTTTATCAATTCAAATTTGCTTTAGTTAGCTAACAAAAAGTATAGTATTGATGTGAGCTTCATCATCCTTATCCCACCGATTAATTTTTAAAGTCTTAAATAGGGATTGGAATCAGTGAAACGGTCTTAGAAGTTTATGAAGCTGACTAGTCTGAGGGATCTGAATTAATCTGAAAAAGACGATCAATTCAAGTGTATTTCATGCTTACGACTTAAACGGTTAATTAGAATTCCCTTACAAAACAGATTTCCAATATCCAGAACCTTGTCGTTCTTTCTCTGGTCTATTAATAGGAATCTTAGCTAAATACATGGATGATAGAATGGGCACTTTAATGCTGGAAATATGTTGTAGTTTGCATTTGGAAATGTTGGCAAGTATGAGTTCAATAATTCTGAAAATTGATTCGAAGTAAATGTTCTACAGTGTTTGCTTTTCCTCTCCAGTGTTTACTGAATTCGAACATCGTACTCGTACTTTGACCCTCGATAATGTTACATGTGTACACCACATTGCGATCGGTATTTTGACCATAAATGTTCTATAATATGCTTGTACCACACATTCAACGGGAGGGACCCTCCAGAGGGTGTGGGGGCAGAGTGGCTGAAGGCTCGCCTGCCAATGGTGGGGTGGGGGAAGTGAAGCAGGTCGGAGCCCGCTGAGCGGAGAGAGCGAGCAGGACGGGAGGGGGTTAGGAGGTCGGAGATGTAGTGGGGGGGAGCAAGACCGTGGAGGGCTTTGAAGCTGAGGATCTTGAACTGTGTCCCCTGTGTGATGGGAAGCCGGCGGAGTCGGGCGAGGAGGGGGGTGAGGGGATGTGGGCGGCAGATGATCTGCTGCCTGTGGAGGCAGGAAATGTGCTGAGAACCGACAGGGAGTCCATGTGATTGGACCAGTGGGGGTTGGGGTGAGGAGAGGGAGGAACAGGATTTACATACAACAGGGAGAGAGCACAGGCTGACCAGGAGAGCCCCGCCCCGCCCCGCCCTGCCCTGCAGGACCGGCCCAGGGGTGGCGTGACTGGCAGGAGGGCGGGGAGGGCGGGGCGGGTGACTGGCAGGGAGGGCGGGGAGGGCGGGGCGGGGTGGGGCGGATTGCCTGGTGCCCCCCCCCCCCCCCCCCCGCCTCCTGCACTCGGTGCAGCGCCATGAGTGGGAGAGACGATGTTGTGATCCTCTCCGCAGCGAGAACCCCAATAGGTAACACAGAGAGAGCAGCGCCACCGCCGTACAGCGGGAGGGGACCCCCGGACACTGGGGGGGACCCCCGGACACTGGGGGGGACCCCCGGACACTGGGGGGGGGACCCCCGGACACTGGGGGGGGACCCCCGGACACTGGGGGGGGGACCCCCGGACACTGGGGGGGACCCCCGGACACTGGGGGGGGGGACCCCCGGACACTGGGGGGGACCCCCGGACACTGGGGGGGGGACCCCCGGACACTGGGGGGGGGACCCCCGGACACTGGGGGGGACCCCCGGACACTGGGGGGGGACCCCCGGACACTGGGGGGGAACCCCGGACACTGGGGGGGGACCCCCGGACACTGGGGGGGGACCCCCGGACACTGGGGGGGCCCCCGGACACTGGGGGGGACCCCCGGACACTGGGGGGGACCCCCGGACACTGGGGGGGACCCCCGGACACTGGGGGGACCCCCGGACACTGGGGGGACCCCCGGACACTGGGGGGGACCCCCGGACACTGGGGGGGGACCCCCGGACACTGGGGGGGGGGACCCCCGGACACTGGGGACCCCCGGACACTGGGGGGGAACCCCGGACACTGGGGGGGAGACCCCCGGACACTGGGGGTGTGTGTGTGTGTGTGTGGAGGCGCTGCTCTGGAGGCGGATTTCCTGCAAACAGCTGAAGGATAATTGAAGCTGTTTGTGCGGGGCCTTCACCATCACTATTACCATTAGCACAGCGCCCCCTCCACCACACCCACCAGCCCCCCCCCCCCCCCCCGCCCCCTGCCCCCCCCCCCCCGCCCCCTCCCCCCCCCCCCCGCCCCCTGCCCCCCCCCCCCCGCCCCTGCCCCCCCCCCCAGCCCCTGCCCCCCCCCAGCCCCCTGCCCCCCCCCCAGCCCCCTGCCCCCAGCAGCCCCCCCCAGCCCCCAGCCCCCTGCCCCCCCCCAGCCCCCTGCCCCCCCCCAGCCCCCTGCCCCCCCACAGCCCCCTGACCCCCCCCACCGCCCCCGCCCCCTGCCCCCCCAGCCCCCTGCCCCCCCCAGCCCCCTGCCCCCCCCGCCCCCTGCCCCCCAGCCCCCTGCCCCCCCCCAGCCCCCAGCGCCCCTGCCCCCCCCCAGCCCCCTGCCCCCCCCAGCCCCCTCCCCCCCAAGCCGCCTCCCACAGCCCCAGCCCCCCGCGCCCGCCGCCCCCCGCCCCTGCCCCCCCCACCCCCAGCCCCCTGACCCCCCCCACCCCAGCCCCCGCCCCCTGCCCCCCCAGCCCCCTGCCCCCCAGCCCCCTGCCCCCCCAGCCCCTGCCCCCCCCAGCCCCTGCCCCCCCCAGCCCCCTGCCCCCCCCCCCAGCCCCCAGCCCCCCTGCCCCCCCCAGCCCCCCCCCCCCCAGCCCCCTGCCCCCCCCCAGCCCCCTGCCCCCCCCCCGCCCCCTGCCCCCCCCGCCCCCTGCCCCCCCCGCCCCCTGCCCCCCCCAGCCCCCTGCCCCCCCCCAGCCCCTCCCCCCCCAGCCCCCCGCCCCCCCCTCAGCCCCTGCCCCTCAGCCCCTTCATAATAACCAAGCCGTGGTCGGGACCCCAGCCTCCGTGATCTTCATAATCGGGTCAATGAGTGGACAA